CTGGGCTGTTCTGAGGCTCTCCACTGACGGTATGTGGGTGGACCACTGTCGCCCTTCACTCCTTCAAGATTGTCAGGGCTTCGTCAGTGGTGTGGTAGCCATAGCTGTCATCTTCTTCGTCAGAGTTCCTCATCGGCACTCAAACCTTTATTACGATTCATGTTCTTCATCTGGATGGCTGGCGCTGGCCTCGGGGAGGCGGATTCTGTGTGGCACTACTAACTGGGTGTGGAGTAGAAAGTGGTGTGTGGAGTTCTGAGAGTGGCGAGACACTGGGATAAACTCTATAACGAATATTAGTTTGAGTTGGCTCATCATCAGTGTGATTCCAATTGTTATCCTCGCAGGTGTCTTCTTGTGATTGGTTGTTGGGAGTCTGCCAGAGAGTGAGAGTCACTGTGTGTCTTCTCCCCATCTGTGCATGGTTGAATTCCGCTGTTTATCTTTGTTTGTGTGCAGTTTGGACTCTGTCTCCTCCCCCCTTTGTCTGGTATGTGTATGGGCGTGTGTCAGACACTGTGTGTGAGTGGCGAGAAAATCGTCAGACAACCAAGTTCATAACACAGCATTCAGCAGGATGCCTAGCACGAATCATCCCATCAAAACAGTCCTGACAAAGGACATGCTGTCCACATGTCAAAAAAACAGCAGAGGGTTCATCACAGTTCGCCATCATGCAGTCCTGATAGCGTCCTTGAGCACAAAACAGACAGCGAATATCTGGGTGATAGGGATGCGTACAACGAGGAAATGTTGGACACCCTTCGGCGCAGACGACGGCGGCTGCAATAGATTGATAATGTTGATGGCATAGGTGATGAATTCCGCAGCCAAGACGCACCGCGTCCATGTCCCGACAGGTGTCACACGAGAGTCGATCAATAATCCAGAATAAAGTATGATTCGGTAATGCACACAAAAATTCATTTATGTTGAAAATAGCCTGAATCATTGTCCCACCATCCCACAGTTCCCACCGGGCAGCTGCACGAATGAGCACCATATAATGCCCGGGTCTGTGCAAAATACAGGCAGAAATATGAGGATGGTCACTAAGGTCATCACCTGGCGTCGCATGATGCATAAGAAGGTGGCAACCGTGGAAAGCTAGTTGTAAGACGTTTACAGTAAAGCCTCCTGAGGTAGTATGTAAATGTATGTAAACACAATATAATCGCATAAAAATCATTGGGCGTTACATCTCGCAGTACATGATTTTATGCATCCATGCTAAAAAACAGAGTAACCACCCTTCTGCCCAGTACTACTCAGGTAGTGCAGCGCCAACGCGCTCGTCTCAGCTTCATACCTTTCTATCCTACTGCTTGCTACTGAAAATGCTAACTCTTGCTTTGAGTTCCGTTCGAACTTCACGGCCTTGTGGCGATCTACCGCCGCCCTGCGGCCCAATATTTTGAAAATAACAATAAAACAAATTTTATTCTAAAATATCAACAAATAAACTTCAAAACTTATCTAAGTCCTAGATCAGCCTTTCTAGAAGGCTTTTTTCATTTTTTCGAAAAAAACTTACCGTCAAGTAGCGGTTGTGCAGCTGTTGTCACGTATGAGGATTTTCCCGACGAACTTTCTTTACCTTTGCCGCGATCGCGGCTTCCCGTTCGTGCTGCAGTTCAACGTTTGAAGTTTTGTAACTCGTTCTGGCTCTGTCAGTTCTGGCGCACCGTTCCTCCATCAGTCCTACCCGCAGAGCATCTTTCTTAGTTGGACTGCCATCTCCTCCCAGAATCCTCCTACTCTCCTTCCAACGTTTT